TTTTATATGTATGTGCATAATTATATGTCGTTACAAGTTTGGAATATTTTAGAATCATTATGTTCCCGTATTTGTTCATCGGTCAACCTTATAACTAGTTGGAGTCCATAGTAACGAGAGTACTTTCAATGATTACAATGACCTATCAGCATGGCATACATCTGATCACATGAAATTTATTGCCAGTGATAGACTGTATACAGCCAGAATTTAGTTTTAAATGGATCAATCGAAATTCTTCACATGTTGATCTAATTCAGAGATTAGAATGTGAACTAGAAGATTGTGTCGTCACATTAATTGAATATGTCAATGGCGAAGTGCACGCATCCTGTCGGAACGTGTGGTCGTTAAAGTTAATACTAAAGGAGGATTCACACTTTCACAGTATCGTTAAAGTTAAGACTTGTTAGAACCCAAAATAAATTTGGGTTCTTTTGACAAGCCGATTTAGCTGTCAACCGAAGAAACGGAGTTCCCTTAATATTGGTCTTCGAATTGGAGAAGGAATAGCAATTATTATCCGGTTTGGTTTACTTCCTATAATTTAGAGATAATATTTGAGACTTCCTATTTGGTTTGGGATTGATGAACGCAACAAGGGAGTATACATTGGTCTATTGATCAAATATTTTGGTTGGCATTTGGTTTGATTCATTAAAGAATCCTATCATGTTGGGCTGTTGACTTTGCATGGGAAAAGGACTCCCACGTGTTGCTACCAAGTTAATAAGTAATCATTTACTTATTTACGGAGGTGGGCAGGTGTTTTCTTCTAATGGGATTTTGGTTCAAGAAATCATGTGATCAATTAGAATACTACAAGTTGGGAGGTTCTTTCGGACCAGGAAGCTTCACCAACTGGGCACATCTTTCCCTATTTAAGAGTCGCGCGTGACAACGAGAAAGGGGATCTCCTCTCAACATCGATCATCATCGACTATTATTTTATTTCTTTTCTTTTATTCGTGTATCTTTTATTCATGTTTTCATAGTTTAGCCTAGAGTAAATAGTTTTTGGCTTATTTTTCTTATAGAAATAGGTAGTCGTTCATCGTTTTCTACTTCAATGAATTCGATTCTTCTTGTAATAGTGCATTATCGACGTTCTCCATATCTAGTCGGCGCTATCTATCTCTTTTTTCCCATTTTAAAGGATTGACGGCCACCACTCTTTGGCTTGTCTCACTCTTTCTCTATATCTTTTTCTTATTAATATTAAACCAAAGTTAACCCTAAGTCCCCGATTCTAAGTATGAGGCTGGTTTTAGAACACATCCACAATCGCTCAGTTTTGTATGTTTTAGGAGATTTTCACTCCTTCTTTCTCACGCTTTAGGGTGATTTTTTCGGCACAAACATAATGGCACGCCCAGTGGGACAAGCGTTCGTTTGATCCCTAGATCATGGTGGTCTTTCTTCCTAAAATCTCTCTTTCTTCTTAACAAAAAAATCTCTATTTTTCTTTCTTATTATGGATTATTCCAATAGTCATATTTATGGTCTTAGTAACCCTAGGGATCCGATCTATACTTCTTCTCCATATAATAGGTCGTCTAATAATCCCCAATCTTCATATTCTTATAGTCCATCACCACTTGGTATGCATATCTCTCAACAGCCCATAGTTCCACTTGTAGGACATAATTCTTTTAAGGATGAAAATAATATCGGATGGCTGGCTACCCTTGATGGCCGCTTTTCTCAATCTTGTAGTCAATATGGCGCGAAACAACAATCTAGTTGTGTTGACAGATGGCGTGATGGGTCTATGGCGCAAGATCCTCAAGATTCGGGGGGCTAGCCATTAGTGGTATTCCAATGTTTACATATAATGGTCAAAGTATGGTGCAACAGGGGCCTGTGCAGCATCAACAAGTTCTGTTGCAGGCGCAACCACAACAGGTTTTGTCGCTGCAGCATCAGCAAGTTTTGTTGCAGGCGCACCCACAACAGATTCAAGTGCATATGGAGGTTTTGTCTCCGCAACAGCAGCGAGTGCATATGGAGGCACTGCAGCAGCAGATTTTGTCACTGAAACATCTCCAAGTTCATATACAGGCAGTGCATCAGCAGTTTCTTTCGCCACAATATATCAGCAAGTTCTGCCGTCGACGCGTCAACAACAATTGCTGTCGATGCAACATCAGCAAGTAGAATCATCGACGCAGCAACATCAGGGTTCGTCGGCACAATATCATGAGCAAGTATTACAGCAGGTACAGAATTTGCAAGTGGTACAGCAAACTCAGTAGACTCAAGAAGCAAGTGAAAGTTCAGTTGCAACAGCAGATCAATTGCAAGAAAGTTTTGTGACAGATTTATCGTCGATGTTCGGGGGGTTACCTAGTGATTTCGATGCTGAGTTTGGCAAGTTTAGGGAAGGCCCATAGGAACAGTCTGAGCACACTCAACAACCGTTTGTCGCTGCAAATGAACAGGTGTTGCAGCCATTAAGTACAGTTTCGGCGAGTGAATCATTTCCGATTATTGAAACTATAGTTGTTACTGAGTATTGTGAGCATACTGATTCTTTTTGTTTGTCTAATGGTCCTGTTATTGGTGAAAACGAGTCTATCGAAGTTGATTGCAGGAAATCTTGTGAGTCTTTTAGCAGCGACAGTGATATCGAGGAGATTATTTGTGACAGTTGTGATAATGTTTCACCTGCAACTGATAATTCTGTTAGTCCAAGTGTCAACGAAATTAAGGGCGAGCAAGCTCAAGACCAAGTGGCAGTACCTGATGCCAATTTATCTGTGACAGCTGAACCAACACAATGCCAAGTTGCTGATGTTGCAAAAGAAACAGAAGCACACCAACAGATTGGAGTTTCTGATGATGGCTTCCAAAATCAGTGGTGCAACAATAGTGCCGAATTGGTCAATGATGCAACAGATTCTTTGCCGATTAAGTAGAAGTCTAATCATGCCTGGCTTTATGACAAGAGACGTTCTGCCAACAGAAAAAGCAAGCGGAATAAAGGCACGTCAATACCGCATGGTTTTCAGTTTGCAGAAAGGGTCAATGACAGTCCCCGACTACGTGGCATTGATTTTGATGGTGGCGACAGTTGTTATGCTTATTTGGATTATGGTGCTGCTATAGAATGGAGGATATATTTGGCTAAAGATTGCGAGTTGCTGAAATCCTTGATTGGCCGAGAAAAGAAGCGTTCTGCAAGAGCTCAGTCGAAGATGCTTACACCTTCTGTTATGCGGCCTAGCAGAATCAAGGCATTTGGGGGCAAGGTGGTCGATGCTAAGTCTAGCAATGTGTCGTCTAAGATTAATAGTGATGTAATCCAATGTGTGGCCGACCAAGAGGAAAAGTATGTTGTTGAAGTGTCGACAATTGATGATAAGGTCAACAGCGATCAAGCAAGTTCTGTTGCAGATGCTAGTAAGTCTTTTCCGATTAATGGAGCACTTGAAAGTAGTAGTGCCACATCAAGCTCTCAAGTTCAGAATGATAGTGGGTGCCAGAATAGTGGTTCTCCTACGCATGAGGGTCAGTTCCAGCAAGCTCATAAGGATCGTCGCGGCAATGTTGACTATCATACTTGGCGTCGATGCAGTACAAGAAGTTCTGGCAAAGCAGGTAATTTTTGAAGGAGACGTGCAATATCTGGGCAAAGTAACCATCCACCTCGCTTTAATCATTATGTTCCTCAATTCGCATGGGTGCCGTGCTACTTTGTTGTTCAGGCAGGTTGGTGCTACGTCGATGTTAGTGCCATGCCAAATGCATATTATTGGTGACAATGTGCTTATCAGCGCTCACATCTCATTCCATTACATATAAGCGTTCAGGGAGCTTTATGTTAGACCCCAAAATAAATTTGGGTCCTTTTGACAGGCCGATTTGGCCGTCAACCAAAGAAACGGAGTTGCCCTAATATTAGTCTTTGAATCGGAGAAGGAATAGCAATTATTATCCGGTTTGGTTTGCTTATCTTATAATTTAGAGATAATATTTGAGACTTCCTATTTGGTTTGGGATTGATGAACGCAACAAGGGAGTATGCATTGGTCTATTAATCAAATATTTCGGTTGGCATTTGGTTTGATTAATTAAAGAATCCTATCATGCTGGGCTGTTGAATTTGCATGGAAAAGGACTCCCACATGCTGCTACCAAGTTAATAAGTAACCATTTACCCATTTACGTAGGTGGGCAGGTGTTCTTATTTTAATGAGATTTTGGTTCAAAGAAATCATGTGATCCATTAGAATACTACAAGTTGGGAGGTTCTTTCGGGCCAGGAAGCTTCATCAACCAGGCACATCTTTTCTTATTTAAGAGTCGCGCAAGACAACGAGAAAGGGGATCTCCTCTCAACATCGATCATCATCGACTATCATTTTATTTCTTTTCTTTTATTCATGTATCTTTTATTCATGTTTTCATAGTTTAGCCTAGATTAAATACTTTTTGGCCTATTTTTCTTATAGAATTAGGTAGTCGTTCATCGTTTTCTACTTCAGTGAATTCAATTATTCTTGTAATAGCCCATTATCGACGTTCTCCATAGCTAGTCGGCGCTATCTATCTCTTTTTTCCTATTTTAATGGATTGACGGCTACTACTCTTTGGTTTGTCTCACTCTTTCTCTATATCTTTTTCTTATTAATATTAAACCAAAGTTAACCCTAAATCCCCAATTTTAAGTCTGAGGCCAGTTTTAGAACACATCCACAATTGCTTGGTTTTGTATGTTTTAGGAGATTTTCACCCCTTCTTTCTCATGCTTTGGAGTGATTTTTTCGGCACAAACAAGACTAAATGAGGATTCACACTTTCACAGTAATGAGGTCATTGTTCACATTACAGTAGGCTACGATCCGTTTAGACGTTATTGGATGAGAACATGTGACAGTTCCATACACTCTTTTGTCCCGAAATGATTATTCAGTTTGAATTTTCATTTTTAACATAATTATATTAAATTGAACATCCAACTTGGAAAATTGTTTTGAGATAAAAAGGAATAATTGAAACGCCTATTATCCTAAACCTATGAACTTGTGTGTTTGTAAACTACTACATGTGTTTCAAGGAAGCTTCTTATCAAATAAAGATCACGACAATTGACTACAAAGTTTCGAAATCTGTAACTATTGATGCCAGATATCCAAACGCCCATAACTCCGTTGATATCTCTGATTCTGATTACGCACTTACTCCATTGAAATTTATGATTCTGATTCTGATTATGCACTTCCAAGCCATTAGCTGTTGGAAAGTCGGATCACAAGTGATGACCTAACTAACTAAGCTTATTCAGCAATAAGAATTATGCTACAATCCAATTCAACAATGGACTAACATTTCACCTCATCTGGACCAAGTCTTATAACTATCCAGGTGTGGATGCACAATGGTATCATCTAACATTCTAATTAACTCCCTCTTTAAGCCTTTGCAAAGTAAGAAAACTGATGCCCTTATCAGAGCATACATTTGGTAACCTAATAATTATGCTTTAGCAGGTATCCACTGATTACCTTGAATAAAGTTCTGCACTGAATATCTATTCAAATTTTGAGCAGGAATCAGGCTACTCCAGCGGACCCGTTTCGTAGTATTCGCCCCGGATCCAAGGTTGCCGGACTCCCCATAATAAAGGGTCTTCAAGGCGAAATCCTTGTCCCATATCAACCATCCATCAGGTGATATGAGAGCCTCCAAAGTGCTCTGGATATATACTGTCCTGGAATATTCTTTCCATGGTCGTCCCAAGTAGTTCAGGTGGACACTTGGGTTGCTTCTGTACAATTTCATGTACTCTTCGGTTCCATTTATCACACAGTTTAAAAACACGAATCCGCTGAACTGGGCCGGGTCGATTCTACCATGGGCTGTCACCGCATTCGTCTCCCCCTTTTCCGGAGCGGTTTGCCTTGGTGCAATCAGGAGGAGGCAAGTCTCGAAGTAGGAAGCTGAGTTTCCGAATACGAAATCGATGTTTCCCTGAATTCGACAGGATTTGTAGTACTGGCGTAGAGCATGAGCGTATAAGGTGTCTTGATTCCCGAGGAATTCGCAGTCTTCGATGACGGAAAGGTCGCTGTTGCACCTGAAGGCCACTGCTTGATGAGCCTCAGAACCTGCTGTGTTCTGAATGGTGAGACCACTTGCCATGAAACCATCGCCCATAACAGCTGGTACCAAAAAAATTCAGAAGTATTATTTCATTAGATCAAACATTTAAACATAGGGTGAATGAATGAGTACATTACATTCTAACGTTTACACCAGTGTGCTAATTCATTCCAATATTTTAAAATTGATTAATGACATCCCAAGGTTATCAAAATTGAGCAGATACATCTCATGACCTGCAAAACATTAAAAATGACATAATATAACAGGTAAAAATCTATTGGATCTCATATTTATTCTTTCTTTCTCTTTTTTTTTTTTTTGGTCATTGTTTAGTTCATTAAAAAACAAACAAAATTTCTATATTAAAAAAACTCGAATAAACTTACTTAATTGATCAAAATAATTTATGCATCACAAATGAAATAATTTATAATTTTAGATAAACTCAAAATTAATTAATTTTTGAATACACGATATATATATATGTGTGTGTGTGTGAAAGCATAATCATTCTTTTTTCATTCAAAATAAAGAAATTTTTTTGGAAATTTTGTTCAAGTTTTATCAAAAAATTTAGATGAATTTGATTATAAAATACATTAGATTCATTAAAAATAAATTAAAGTTTTTAGTTTCTCTATTTATAAATGTTGTTTTTGTTTCAATAAACTAGAAAAAGTTTTAAAAATTCAAAAAAACAGAAGTAAAAATGTTAAATATGGGATCCAAATGATTTTACCTGTTATACCAAGTCACTTTTGTTGGTTTGCAGGTCATGGGATGGAACTACTCAATTTTGATAACCTTGGAACGTAATTTACCGATTCTAAAACTTTGGGATGAATTCGATAGTAAGGTATAAATGTTCGGATGTATACACAAATATTCCCTTTAAACATATAACCTTCGCCCCAAAATGATTGTCCAGTTTGAACATCTGTTTTTAGTATTAAAAATAGATATTTCAAACTGAACAATAATTTCGAGACTGAAATTGGAAAATATTTCAAGGTGTTCACAATAATGATAACAATAAGAAGTCTAACGCTCTCACCGACTGTAGTAGACATATAAGTGGTAATGCCCGGCTGGCCGACGTTCCCGGACCCTGTAATCACCGTCTTACCGATCCCGTCACCCAAAAACACCATATTCTTTTTCTCCAGGGGGATCCGGACGGTTTCTTGGTAAACTCCAGCCTTGATCAGAATCACGAACCGCCGTCCCGCCACTAAGTTCTTCGGGCAAGCATTCACCGCCTCCTGAACCGTGGCATACTTACATCCTCCTCCTCCATTACACACCGTGACGTCCGGTTTCAACCCGGCCGGCACGCCACCCTTGAAACCAAGCCCGGCCGAACCTCCGCCCGACCCGTCAACCCGCTCCCAGAATCCATCTCGCTCCGTCTTAGGCGGGCCCCAAGTTTGCGTTTTCTCGCCGTAGTTGTCATAGTTTAGCATCATTGCCAAAGCATTACTAGTCGACGAAATGGTGTTGTTCAAAAAAGACATGGTTTCGTTGACCTTAGGAATGTCGTTGACATACTTCAACGCGGACCAGCAATCGTACTGGTAAACCATGGCCGCCGACATCCAGGCGCGCGTGTCCTTATTAATCTTTCCGGTAGCCAAAGCAGCAACCGTCATATTACTCCGGTAATCGGAATAGTTGAGAACCTCCACGCACGTTTTGGCCGCATTAGTCCTGTTCAGATTCCCTCTGGAAACCGCGAGGATATCATTCACCATGGTTTGGGTGGTCTTGACGTTCGTCTGGGACACCCAAATAGCTAATTTGATCGTATCCATTAGGGTTCCGCTCGGCGGCCCGCCGGTGGCCTGCGACAGCGAGGTTTCACACGACGGTGGGGTTTTTGAAGCTTTGCAGGCTTCGCGAATGAGGCCGCCATTGCCCGGCGGTGCAGTAGGTGCGGCGAGGGCGGTGGAAAGAGATGGGCATAAGACAAGGGAAACGATACATATTGATAGAAAAGTGGCCATGAATGAAACGATTTAATGCCTTGGAAAGCGGGTTTTCAGTTTCGTTGGATTATTAATGTCGGAATGGGGGAAGAGATGAAGAATGAGGTTTTATAGGTTTTTTTTTGGATACATTTTTCTCCTTTTACCATGTGGATTATTTACGGTCTAAAAATCCGACAACAAATGCGTCAAATGATATCGAAATTTTACAGTGCGATTCTTCTTGTTTTTGGTTCTGTTACAGTTTGGTAATGGAAAAAGTAGAAAATTTGGGGGTTTCTGGAAGAAGAAGTGTTTTGGAGTGTGAAGTGTTAGGCTGAGAGAATATTTTGGCCATGCCACAAATAAACCAAAAGGACAAAAGTTCTCATGAAATTACACTATGTACAAACCGGAACACTTTACATTTGTGTCCTAAATCTTTGCGTAAAACTAGCACATCATTAAATTCTTATTATTCATCATCGTTGTAAAAATAAATAATTACTACTAGGAGTATGACGTTGAATTTCTCACATGTGCCATTCACATGATCCCCTCTGCTTTTTTTAATTTTATTTTTTTTATAGAAACCATAGGATTCCAACTCAAAACTAATTAGCAATGAGGGGACATGTGAGATACTCAATACTCCCTGCAAGCCCAACGCATCTTCTTGGGTTGGACTTGTCTATTTTTCTTCAGCCCAGTCACCGTCTCGCGTCTCAGCCCTACCAGTTCTATCACATCAGACTTCGAGTCCGGCTCTTTCACATCGGGCTTAGAGTCCGACTCTTGGTGAGCTAGCTCTGATACCATATAGAAACTCATGGGTTTTCACCTCAAAACCAATTGGCAATGAGGAAAGTAGCCCATAAATTTATATATTAATATCAAATCTCTCCCACTACCGATGTGCGATACTCACCATTTTCCTTTCCTTTTCATATTAGTTTTATGCCCCCCGTTACGCGGATTTTAAAACATTTTAATGCTTAAGTTGAAATGCTATCCTAATTTTCTAGGAAGAGTTTCATACAAACATTGTGAAATATGAATAATATATCTTTACAATTGTCCGTCATGATATCCATTGTTTCATTCGTTTTTCTTAAGCATATATATATATATATATATTCTATCACAACTAAGAAATGAGAGCTCAATCATCAAAGATTATTATGCAAAAAAAAAAAATTATTCAAAGAAAAAACGTTTTAAAAAAATCAAAATATTTGATAAATTGAGCAAAGATTAAACGGACAAAAGTTATTTCTTTTCAGGTGGAATTCTCAAAGATGATGTGCTCGACAAACTTTATCTTATTCCACAATTGTACTTCCACATTCTGATGTGATTCCGGATAGGCCACTAAGGGTTATTCCTTACTATGGTGACTTTTACATTGATTTTGATCATATAGTGATTGGAATAGAATCATATTGAAGTAATCAAGGATGATGAAAGGTTGAACCAGAATACAGTTCGCGTTAAGCAAAAATAAAATCGATAACGAAGCAGACAGGAAAGCGTGAACTGAATTGCCAAACAAAAAAAAGTCAACGAATCAACCGAAGAATGGAGTGAAGAATTTTAAGGATTTTCCTAATTTGGTTAATTTGGATTTTTTTCATAATTTTCTTGTCTATTTCAAGTTCAAGTCGACTCCATTGGATATCAGCCATTGGGTGGAGGTTGCATCAATACGAATAGATAAGATTATTATACAAAGAAGATTTTCAATGAGTTCACATTTAAAGAAAACTCTTTCCTATCGAGTTGATTCTATTCGAACGCATAAAGTATACTTTTTAGAGAATATATCTTTGTAGCTTAACTAATCTTTTTATTCTTAATTAGACTTAGGGTGTCTTAAGTCTAAATAAGTGTCTAGGTCCATTAGCTTAATAATTAAGATATGAATTGTCATTAGATTTTGATTTTGATTTTGAATTCTTAAAGTAGGGATAGAGGTGAAGGTCTTATTTCTTCCCCTACTTCCTTGGGATTATTCGACCATCCCTCTATTATAGATAGACTGGAATTTTGGCCAAGAAGAGATGTACATGTTATGAATTGATTTTCACTATAATAAGAGAGGAAACTCTATGTTCTTTCTGACTTTTGCAAAGAATAGTGCATTGCACTACTTGTTTGTGTTTTGTTGCAAGATTGTGCATATATCAGGTGTTTCTCTACATGTGAAGCTTTTTCAGTAGTTCATTGGAGACTTTTCGCTAGCCATTCTATCCAAAAATCTACGGGATATGGTTGTTAGCAAGTTAGTCTAATCGGGTTACTAGCCATAAACACTTCTACATCCTTCAAACCTTTGTATCTCCATTTGTGAAATATATTTTGTTTGTTTTTTTTTGAGTGAAATATTTTTGTTATTATTTTCTTGTGTTTCGGAATCTTTCACATTGGATCTATAGGTTTCCAAGTTTTATAAAATTCATAAATTCCGTAGACAAGGTAATCTTGCACCATCATTACTTTTCATTCGTGTGACATCCTAAGGCCCCTGTTCCAGTTTGCCAGGGATACATGAGGCATGGAAAAAATTATCAAAGGGCCAAAAAAATAAAATAGAAATATCAAAAAAATCAAAATAACCAAAAAGAATGTTTGTTCACCCATCAATTGCATCTAAAAGAATATATATAGTGTTTTAACAAACGTGTCGAAGAAAAGAACGTGTCAATTTATAAACATAATTTACGACACAATGATGCAATTTTTAATCCAAAAAGCCATATTAGCAACAATGCCATCTGCAAATAAAAAGAACGGTGGAAATGTGGAATATTTGAACTAATTAGTTGTAGTGATATAGTAAAACATATTGGTATCGACTTATATATCTCCCAAAACATTTATGGAAAGCAATTTTTTATATCTTCAAAACTATTCAAAAAACAGAGATAGAACAATCTTAAGATGATGAAGAAGTAGCTAATGAAAAAAATATCGGCACTTAATATATGCAATATAATGACACTGTACCTCACAAAAACTTGCGTCATGAATATTTTCACCCATAACTTGCAAAGATTTCTTTAAAAAAAAAAATTAGTATCTACAAAAAGCTGGAGAAAATTCGGCTTAGGAACCAAACTAAGAAGAATATAAAAAAAATCAAAAAAGTGAAGTAGAGTATCAGAGGATGTTAGGAGTAGTAGTAACGTGATGATAGAGTTATATATAAGAGGCTGGAAACTGATAATCACGTTAATCACTGATCGTTGTATTTTTTGGAAATTACCGAGAGTTGTTTTGAAAAAGATTTGATTTTTTGGTAATTTTTTAATTTGCTATTATCACATTTAGTTTGAAATTTGAAAAAAATGATCTAATGTATGTTAATGTAGATTATTCCATTAATTTTGACATATTATTTCACCGAATACTTTTGGATGTAGATCATTCCATGAATTTTGACTTTTTATTTCATCAAATCCTTTTGATTTATTTGGAAACAATTATTAGTGGATGTTATTTCCACACACTGGATAACAAATTGCATATGTAAATTAATGGCTTTTGGCGACATTTTCTCATGCAATGCTGCATTCTTGTGCCATAAATTTGTGGCATTTTTGCATTTGTGTCGCTAATTTGCAACACAATAACATCACTTCTAAATATGTATTTATTTGGCATCAAACATGCGGCATTGAATCTTTTTTGTGGCAAAATGATGGCACGTGTTTGCCACTCTTTAAAAAATGCCATTGATTAAGGACAAAATTCAATTTTTGATGCTACATTAAATGTTGCAAGAGTGTATTTGCGGCACTTCTATCACTTTTTGCGACATTATTCACATGTTGCCAAAAGCCATTTCTCTTGTAGTGAGTTACCCGAAAACTCTACTACATTCAATTGACCTTGATTTTTCCAATTGTTTGATTGATTGATCCATCATGCGCCATGTGTTCGAAAGATGAGTTGTTTTAATATATGAGACTTGAGTCAAATTGCCATGTCTTTTGGACATAAGAAGATGAAGAGAAGAAGATAAAACTTAAATTTCACATGGTTATAATATAGAAGTATGTGAATATTACATGTAATAGAATATTATTCAGCTTTCAATGGTGACCAGTGGACTTCTGTATTAGCACAATATTTTCGATGACCCTGTTATTTTACAGGTAATGTGACAGAAATTAAACAATTCAAACACACATCATTCTTAATACTATTTCCTCAATATGGACCTTTTTTTTTTTTTTGAACAAGCATAGTACTAATATTAACATCTTATCTGGTAATTGAATAACAGCCTAATGATTAGGGTGTTGTGCTTCCTGGTATTAGACTTGGGTTTAACTTCCACCAAGGGTTATGTAATAGGAGGAGGGGTAGGGGGAGGGGAGGATATTACATGTAATAGAATATTATTCAGCTTTCAATGGTGACCAGTGGACTTCATGTATTAGCTCAATATTTTCGATGACCCTGTTATTTTACAGGTAATGTGACAGAAATTAAACAATTTAAACATACATCATTCTTAATACTATTCCCTCAATGTGGACTTTTTTTTTTTTTGAACAAGCATAGTTCTAATATTAACATCTTATCTGATAATTGAATAATAGCCTAGTGGTTAGGCTGTTATGTTTCCTGGTATTAGACTTGGGTTTCACCAAGGGTTATGTAAAGTGGGAGGGGGGGTTACCCACATTTAAATGAGATGTGGATTTCTTTAAAAAAATTAACATTTTATCCAAATTAATTAATAATAATACATTACCCTAATGGTGAATGAACTCTAATGACTAACTTGAACATGTATCACTTTTTTAATTAATTTCACAAAAATTGTCACATGAGGTACTTGCTTAATATTCCATTTTTATTTTTTTGTTAGTATTTTATCTGTGTTTCTCAAGTTTTTCATTCTTCCTTAAGACCAGTATGGTATATCTACCTTACTTGAACATCCAATGACTTCCAATTTGCGAAATATAGTCTTTGAAGAATTAATTAGATTTTTTCATGTGTGTTGCACGAAATATGTTAAATTACAGTATTACATTGATAGTTTGATGTAAAAAATTTAATTACGCCACAACTCAAATTTTTATTCTCTCTCTGGCAATCACTTGAAAAAGACTAACATTAGAACCACTAAATTTGAATTTATGGAAAAATTTTATATTTTGGATTTTTTTCATAATTTTACACCTCGAGTTTTGATATTTTTTTCCTGATATAAATGGTGAAAGGTCAGAAGGGAGAGCAAATAAATTATTAAATTTTTTCTAAAAAATAATTATTTTTATAAAAACTAATTTTTTAATGTATTTAGTTAGAAAAATATTTTTCAATCAAAACTTCTTAGTATTGATTTGATATGTTGTAGGTTAGAAGCTTATGA